TGACTTTTTTTTTTAAAGAACAAAAATCCTCTTTGAAGATGCAAATTGAGGTTCCACAAAGAAGTTTACAGTCTGCTTTTCTCTGTTTGTATTTCCGGCCTCTGACATTTGCTTTCAGACTGATTGTGAGATTTTTTTGTTCTTTTCCTTTTTCCCCATTGCTCATTCTCAAATAAGGCTATACAACCATTTCCATCATGAGATGAAATGGTCATATATGACTTTCTGTCCCCAAGGTTCTTGGCCTGTTGCCAGAGTACTCAATAAGGTTCAATTATGTTTGTGGAAAGAATGAATGACTTCTACTATTTGTATATTCATTTGGGCACCATGTATGGGTGCCAGGCAGTGTGCTGGATCCTAAGAATTCGGTGGTGACCCTGATGGGCACCTGCCTACTGGGGGTATCAAAACAAATGGGCAATTGGCAGAGCTGTAAACACAGTAATGTTAAGAACAGCTGTGACTTTTGCTCTAAAATTTAAAAAGAATTCAGGGCAAGGGTTGTGGGAGAATTCTTGCCTTGTCTTCACAGTGCAAGGCTGTGAGTTCAATCCCCAGTACCACCAAGAATTTTTTTCAATTAAAAATAAAGAATTCAGTTTCTGAAGGGCTGAATTAAAGTTAGGTAAATAATTAGAACGTTCTGAGCTTCCTTTTCTCATCAATAAAATGACCTAATGGCTGTGCCACTGTGTTGTTCTGGGGATGAAGGGGTGAGATGAGGAGAGCTGCAGGGCAGATGGACATACCTAACACCTGACCACCTGGCTGGCAGCCTGCTGATGGAATGCCACTGAGACCTGCTCAAGTTGGCACAGTTTCTTCTTTCTTTCTTTTTGAGTTTGTTGAAGTGCCATTCAACCTGCTCATGCCTTAGACTCTTGGAATCTCTTGTACCTTCCATTCTTATAACTTCACCTTAGCTGAAAACTCAGAGCAGCTCTGCCTTTTTCCTTGAGGCTGGCCCAGATTCTGAGAGGTAACCATCATTTCTTGGAAAACAGAGAGGGTATTTGTTGTAGCTCCATGAGGATTCTGGGATCATCCCTGTAGGAAGAGCCCATGGAAGGGGGGGAGGTAGTAAATAGCTCAATACAGAGCCTAGCTCACTCATACATTAGTTGGAGCTATGCAATTTCAAGCCTGACTCCAGATCTTGTTCCTCTCCATTGGATTAAATCTAACCATTTTCTTTTGTGAATCCTCCCCTTATCATCAGATCTGCATCATTCAGTTAATATGCACATTTATTTAGCATTTATTAACTGTAAGCATGGGAATCTAGCCTCTGCCCTCATAGGGCTTAGAATCCAGTAAAGGACAGACAGATAGGTGACAGGCAATGACATAAATAAGATTAGGCCTTCACCAATGACAAATGAATGCCAGGTACATTTTCCAGTGTATCACAGACTCTCCCATCATTTGTTCTATTGGACAGCTGTTGACTTGTCCACTTTAAAGAGGATAAGGCTGAATTTCAGAAGCTGAGACCCCTCTAAGGTTCACAGAGATGGGAAGCTCTGGAAACAGGATGCACACCCAGGTCCAGCCTGCTGTGTTACAAGAGCAGTTCCCACCTGTAGGTAAACCCCACCTTTACTAGCTTCAGGGTCTCAATTCATTTCACATCTCTGGGGTTGTATCCACCACGTCTACTTGGCTGCCTGGCCTCCTTCAGTGGGCCAGGATGGTCCTCTCCATCTCTCTGGATGGGACAGTTAAGTTACAGTGGCTTCAACAGCTGTAGGCTCAGCCTACTTTACCCATGGTGTTTGGTGCTTACCTCATCTCCCTTGTTCTAGCTGATGACTTTTGGCATCTCATCTGGACACCCATTCTCATTAAACCTTAATGCTGAGGGGACTTAAGTAAGTAATTCTAGTGGAGGCTGCTGGCCGCTGTGACCACGCCTGGAATTTCAGGCAGCCCCCCATGAAGGCAGAACGGATTTAGCCACTGGATTCAAGACCACTGAGCTTATTATGATCCCCATCCTCTGTCTTCTAGACTCCAGTCTTACTTCTTACAGAAAGGTTCTTGCATTATTTCAGATTTTGTTTCCCCAGTAAAACTCCTGCAGGGCAGGGACCTGGTTGTATGGATATTCTCCTCATTAGAGTCTAGCAAAGTGCCAGGCTTAGACAGCCCATTTAATAAATAGGTGTTGAGAGAATGAGTGGAAGAACAGATGGTCACACCACACCATTGGGCCCAGTCCTTCTAACATCCAGCATGTGTTCAATTCCCCATTCAACTCTTGGCCTAAAAGAAATATTAAAGGAATCATTAGTGTGAACTTCTCAAAATGTCAAGGATTTTGAAAATTTTTATTCCAGTGAGCATAGACTTTTTGTTTCCTACATCAGAGCAAAAACAATCTCATCTCTAATGGGTGGAGAGGCGAGATTTAAAAAAAAATTACTGCAAGTATTAAGTTAAATCTATTTTGTAATATTCATCAAAAATTTCCCTTGAAATCCTAACACTGGTCAGGTAGCTTAATCATTTACTAATGATCTTCTGTTGATAATTTCATGAGAAATACATAACTGTCTTTCCTTAAGCTGTGTTGAATGGTCTAAATGATAGCTGTACCATAGACCCACATTCTGTCTGGGAGTTATGACAATCTTTTGTTCTGTTTTGAAAATGAAAAAAAATCTCTAGTCAATAATTTAGAGTATTAATGAGTGTAGTTTGTATGTCTTAGCTATGCTGAAACCATGACTTAAGAAACAAGGAAATTGAAATTGCAAATTGAAAAACTAGTCACGTTAATGGATTTGGGAGCACGGGGACATTAAATTAGGTCTTTAACACATTGAACTTGCATCTGGGGAATCCAAGAGACACCCTCTGTGAGGAGTCGCTTGGTACAGGCATCGCCTCCTGGCTGTCTGACCCCCTAATCTAAAAGTTGCAGACTTCCTGCAAAGTGACATGGGACAAATATACTCCACTGCCTCATCTCTCTGCATCTTCAAGTTTGTTAATTTTCCCAACTGATATCTACTGAGCACCTTGGGGGATGCCGAAGAGCCTGGGAACCTGGCCCAGGAATTCCAAGTGAATATGGAATAAACTAAGGAGCTACATGCAGCAAAAGTAGGTTTTCTGAAAGCTTCTGTTTCAAACAGAGCATCACAGGACGGAGGTCACACACAACAGTGGCCTCCAGTGATATCAGGCAGCGAATGTGTGTGCCAGTCACTATGTGGAGCCCTTTGCCGTTTGCCACTCACCAGTGCTCACAGTGACTTTGTGAGTTGACTACTACTAACCCTGCAGTGCTAATGAGGATACTAAGGCCCTGAGAGGTGACTCACTCAGGACTTTATGCAGCGCTGGACACTCCAGATGCTCAGTCCTCCCACAGAGTTCCCACTGCTCCCTAACTCAGTGCATGAGTGCATTATTAGTCTCCACGTCACCTGCGTAACTTAATTTCTTGTGGCTATTGGTTTAAATAAAATCTCCCAAAACCATCAAGTAATTCTTTCTCTAGTGTAGACAGTGGGGACAAATTGACAGTGTAATTTGAAGCTCAGGCTTAGAGGTCCATGTACACACTAGGATGTTGGCATTGGAAGGCAGAACTCAAGCGAGATCTCAAACTGGCAGCCCGCAGACCCGGCCCTGCTGGCTCTCAGATGAATTTTGTTTGGTCTGCACTGCATGAAGTTTTGGCTAGTTGTTAGCATTTAAAAATGAGACACTTCCCACAAATATCAGGACCTTTTCTGTCAAAAGATTAAAACTGATGGAAACATGGAACCTCCATTTCCACGTGGTAGACACCAGCCAGAGTAGAAGCAGAGCTGCATCTTCAGATAGGTGAATTCTGCCCAGTGTAACCCAGTCCTCACCCACTCCCATTTTTCCTCGCAACAATGAAGCCAGGCGTTAGTTTCCATTTATCATTCACAAATAAGTCATTGATTTTTTTTTCAGAAAGTGATGTGTATCTTGATCAGAGTGCCTAGCATAATTACAGATAGACCAAAAGGGTTTTCTATTACATGAAAGTTGACTCTAATATCCTGTTGCTTACTTGTGTTCATGATGTGCCCAGCCTCCGTGGACATGACGTAGTGACCTGTGTGGTTCAGCCTCTCATTTTACAGAGGAACCTGAAGCCCAGGGAGGAAAGGCAACTTGCCCAAGACCATGTGTCCTGTTGATGACAGAGCCAAGATGGGAACCCGGTCCTCAACTCCCAACACCACACTGCTTCTTATGTGGCCATGGGAGGACGCTTGTTTTCCATGCCCTGGACATCAGATGGTCTTGTGGAGCTAAATTTGCATTTGTTGCAAAACACCCTTCAATGTTAAGTCATCCACTGCCTGTGTAGCCTTTCTCCCTCTTGAAGAAGGAGACCTAGCTCTTTGAACACATAAGATGGAAATTTCATGTTAATTTCCTCACCAAAGCACAATTCTGTCTTCAGTACTAGGGATGATCTGCTTTGTCTGGGGAATTTATTATAATTAGTAAAAGTGAAATATGCAGCAGAACAGACATGGTCTGCCTTCCTGATTCTTACCTTTTGTTTTTAAATGGCAATTTCTTTTTCAATGCCAATTTTCTCATTTTTTATAATCATTAAAGTCAAAGATTTTCTAGTTTTTTTTTTTTTTGTAGTGTTGGGGTTTGAACTCAATACTTTCTTGCTTGGAAGTTGCTAGCAACCCTTTTATTGGCCTTGATTATTTCGTTATTTTTGAGATAGGGTCTTGCTTTTTGCTTGGGTCATCCTAAACTGCAATCATCCTATTTATACGTTGACTGTAGCTGGGATGATAAGTGCATACCACCATGCCCAGCTTTTTTCTGTTGAAATGGCATCTCATGAACTTTTTGCCCAGGCTGACCTTGAACCATGATCCTCCCAATGTCAGCCTCCCAAGTAACTAGGATTGCAAGCATTTGAGCCACCATGCCCAGCTTCTAGTGGTTTTAAAGTCGAGTGGGGAAGGAAAGGAAGACACACCATGGCATCTGCACTATCACAAGAACTAAAGCTTTCTGTGCATGAGGGACCTTATAAGCCGGTGATCCTTCATGCAGGCTGCCAGGGAGGCGAATCAGTGATGCTGTTCAGTATCACCAGGGAGGCAGGTAGCCCTGCTCGCATGACGCACCATGCACGAGTGACGTACCACACATCACCTTTTTACTGGTTTCATTGATCCTGCTGCTCTGCTTATTTGTGCTCATTGACAACGACAAGTGAGCATCTCAATTTCCGGAAACAGGGTGAGAAACTACCTTTCATCTTCTTCCTGACTGAGAGCTTCTTTGCTATTCAAAGATCCACACATAAATATTTACAATCAGTTGCTTCCAGCCAAGAAAACCTGCAACGGGCGTGGGAGTGAGGGACATAATGCTCCTTCCACATATCTGTGTCTGCTTCCTCTCCATCAGCAGTAAAGTCATGTATGTTGCTTGCATACGTGCCTGGGGTTCAAACACTGGAGCACCTATGAACAATTCCCGACCCCGAAGAGGCAGGTTCATGGAATCCTCTCACCCCACTGGCTTGGAGTTTTCTGCTCATATTTCTGTTGTTGGTAATGTATTTATCCTATGTCTTACCATTTCCATCTTCCAGAAATGGGCAGTACCCTGTCTATGTCTCTGAATTCCTTGGTTCTGGTTTTTAAGGGAGCTGGATTTAAAGGGAGGGACAGACTCACACTGAGAATGGGCATCAACTGACTTTTCCGTGCTAGCATCAAAGGCTTCCTCTCTACCTCCCCAAGTGTCTCAACTCTGTGTGTTCTTTGAGAGGAGAATAAAATGTTGTGTAGTTAGAGTTGGAAAATTTGTCTTTGATGACCTTCCTGTTTTCCCAGTTGAATTTGAATCTGAGCCTTGGTGGTTGAGGATCCCAGGATCTCAGAGCAGGTGGCTCATGGACAATGGTGTCTTTGTCCCAAACCCCTCATCTAACAGGAGGAATCCTGTTAATACAGTCTGGCTTGGTAGAGTCTAATTCTTATTCAGTGGTTATTGGAAAAGACAGGGTGTAAAAGATCGAAGCTTCCCATACCTCAACCATGCCTCCCAGGCCATGGGGAATTGCCTCAGAAGTCCTTTGTCAAAGAACATTATGTCAGTTCAATAACTGTATAAATATCAGGGAGAAAGTGACAGGCATAAGGTTTAGTGTGAAATTGGAGCTTCATCCTGTCACCTAGAAAAGTAAGGGCAGACAGCAAAGCTTTAAAAATACTGTCCAAAGGTGCAATAGCCTGTGTTGAAGAAGTCTAGCAGTTGCTGGATGCCCATGGGCTTTAGGTTATTAGACTGTCTTTTAACATGCCTGTGATTCCTCCTCCTATTTAGAGAGGCAGAGGCTTCAATGATTTGCAGGGGTTATGGTTGTGGGTGCTACCTACTGTGGGAGAGAAAACATTTTACTTGCACCCCAAAGAGCAAAGCAAAGTCAGTGGTGCCAGAGTTGATGCCAGAGCTGAGCAGAGGTGGGGTGAATGCTAGGGGCCTCACCTCAAGCCAGGCAACCCCTTCCCTTTTCCATACCCTGAAGGTATCCCTAGAACTACAGATAATATTGGTCGCTTGGGCTGCCTTAAAATCTCCAAGTCATTTTTTAATGGGGATGCATACAAATTCCTGCTCAACATCCACTCTGTGTTCATTTGCCTTTTTTTCTGTTTACTTTCCTGACATATGCCAATTTGGCATGACCTATGGTAGTCTTTCCTCTGATTCCAATTTTGTAGACTTTTATCCATAGCCCAACAAAGCCCCAGGATAGGTCTTTTCTGCTCCCCACACTTAGTCTAATTAGTAGATAGACTTGCTAAGCCATCTGATTGAAGGAACTCCATCACTCCTCCTGTAAGAGCTCAGGATGGAGCCAGCCCCAATGGGAGCCAGATGTCCAGTCATCCGCTCTCACTTTCATACCTCATGGGGTAGCCGAAAATGAAAGAAGGAACAAAACAATGAGACGCGAATGTGAATTAAGAAGCTGTGCACTTGCTAGGATGGTGGCCAAATGGGTGAGTTTGGAACACCACGCAAACCTCTTAATACCTTTCCATCCTAGCCAACCATCCAGAACAGCCTAGGCAATGCCGTATCTTACATGCTCTTTCTTTAAGTACTGTACTCAAATAGCTGTTGGCACTGCCTTGCTGTGCACAAATGCTCCAGTGCACACACGGCTCCAATTGTGTTTCCTTACTTTTGCATCATTTTTATACCTGAGATTAACCTGGTTTAATATTTCTACTTTTAAAGGGAGGACAAAACTCTTCTGTAACCTCATTTACTTCAGTTACTGAAAAAGCCCTATTTTGCTATAAGCTTATGCTCATACTGATACCTCCTTTAAGGAGATGGATTATTTCAGAGATAATTTGGAAAATCTGCAGGTTATTCGTTGCTATATAGCATTGTTATTATAGCTGTGACTATCCTGACATTAATATTATATGGTAAGTTGACCATATTGCTACACTATCTCAGTTTTTGTGTTGAATGGAAATGTTATGGCGGGCTTGCCTATGGCTCTGATCAGTCATTTTCAGTTTATAAAAACTGAGCAAAGCATTTTCCAGTTTTACCCATAGTTTGTACGATTTCTTTGAAATAGACACTTAGAGAACTCTTACAAAGATGAGAATGCGCTTTAGGCCAGAGCTTCTCAGATAGCAATACGCCTTGTGTACAGATGACTTGGAGATACTGTGACAGGCAGGTTCTAACTCAGTATGGCTGGGGCAGACCTGACAGTCTCTGTTTGTGCCAAAGTCCTGCATGACGCTCAAGCCGAGGCTCAGGCTTTGGGCAGCCTCTTAAAGTTGCAGTACTGCCACAGTATTTCTAATGCCTGTTTTACAATCACTGTGTGAGCTGATTACCCAGGCAGTCTGCCCCCTCGTGTGCGTGTTTTAATCAAGAAGAAAGTTTTGCTTAGACTGACATCCAGAGAAGGTAAAGAGCTGTAGCACCTGCCTTCAACAAAAAGTCTCCAGGATTGGCCATGGCTGCCATGACAACCACCTGGGACATTCAAACCCTCAGCCTCGCTCATACACACATTGTGTGCATACGCACACATGCATGCACACACATAATCCAGGAACCACTCCAAAACACTATAGACGGTCCGGCTGGCAATGGGAACCAACTGCCAGTAGTTTTTAATGTTTTCCAGATATTAAGGGTGATTTCATGTGTAGGCTGGGTTAAGGAACATGGTCCTAAGCCCTCAGACATCCACCTTAAAACTCACTGAGCTCAAACTGTGTTCTTTTTTCAGAGTTCTTTTTCTTTTTGAATGAACATATAATTTTCGTACATATTTATGGGGTAGAGTATGATAATTTGACACTTGTAAATAGCATGAAATGATTGAGTCAGGGTAATTAGCATTTCCATCTCCTCAAATATTTACCATTTCTTTATGTGGTGATCCTTTGCACACTTCTGGTTATTTTGAAATATAAAATGAATTGTTACCTTATTGCACTATAGGAGGAATTAGAACAAACTCCTCCTAGCTAACTATATTTTGGTAGCTGTTATCCAAGCTCTCTCCTTCCCTCCCACCCCACCCCCACCCTTTCTAGCTTCTGATAACCACTATTTTCTCTTCTATGAGATCAGATTTTTAGCTTCCACATATGAGTGAGAACATGTGGCATTTGTCTTTCTGTGCCATGTTTATCACTTAGCAGTTCCATCCATATTGCCATAAATGACTGGATGAAAAGCATGGGTCTTATATATGCTACAGACAAATTCCAAAATTGCGGCTATGGATTTTGACAGCCATGAGTTCTTTTTGCAGTTCTAAAAAAACCAAAACCATTACTTCTAGGAGAAGACAGGTGTTTGTCGTCACTGGCTTCTCCACAAAGCCCACTCCTCCATAGCACGTGTGGACACCATTTTAGTGAATGACACCGTTGTATACCCTGTCTCCTGAGCCAAAAATCTAGAGCTTATCCTCACTCCCTGATTTGCCCTTTCCCTTCAAATCTGAGCAGTTCTCACTGCCTTGTTCTGTTGTACTTTTTTCTTATAGACTGTAAAACACTGTTTTAAAATTATCTATCTACATGGCCATGCCCTTCAGCCAGACCCTCAGTCCTTTGAGAACAGAGATATCATCTGATTGCCTCACACAGTGACTGTCTAGCACATAGTGGGTACTCATTAAATCCTTGTTGAATGAATGAGTGAAATAGAAGAGGTTTTGGTCACATGCAAGCCTGGAAGGTCATTCTCATGGTTGAAAGTTCATTCCAGTGTGGCTCCACAAGTACAGACTGCCTAGACGGTTCCTGGTGCCAACGTGGCCACGACTCTGGGATGTGAAGGTGGCGGACAGGATGCCCAGGACACTCTGAGTCCCTGCCACTTACCACCTGCTAGAGTAACACCTGCTGTTTCTCTTTGGCAGTTGCCTTTTCGGGCCTTGGTTTCACGACATTCTACTTGGCGGGAAAGCTGCACTGCTTCACCGAGAGTGGGCGGGGAAAGAGCTGGCGGCTCTGTGCCGCCATCTTGCCCTTGTACTGCGCCATGATGATCGCCCTATCCCGCATGTGTGACTACAAGCATCACTGGCAAGGTGAGTCCCTGCCTAGGGCCTGCCCAGTCCTCACGGTGCTTCACCCTCTTCTCCAGGGATAGGTCTAGAAATGCTCTGAATTGGGGAGAGCTAGTGTCCAATGTCAGAAAGCAGAGTAGGCTGAGATGACAGAGTGGATGCAGTTTTGAAGCAAATATACCTGGACAACTGAGTTCTGGCCTTCATGCTCCCCATGCTGGAAAAAAATTAGAGTTCTTCCTCCTCCTCCTCCTCCTTCATGCTCAAGGAGATTTGCTTGAGTTCTGCCAGTGTCAGGCCTTTGGTGCACAGTCCCCCTGGGCATCAGACCTAACTATGATTGCTGGGTCACTTGACTCAGTCCTGAGACTTGGTGTCAAGAGGTTTTGGGCAACTTTCCCATGGCAAACCCAGCCTACAAGGACATATTTCTTACCATGGGTGCTGTTTCAAAGGATGGGGTCCAGCGGAGGGAACAATTCTAGCAATGCTTGTAGCAGCTGCTGCAAGGCTGGAGTGAGGCTTACCTATGTAGATCTGGGATGTTTGTTAAAATCTAAATCACACAAACCAAGTGAGGGACTGATTCTTGGAATAGAACTAGACCCTTCCATGATCTTCTGTAAACTACAGCTCACAAGTACTGCCTGACATAGCAGACAAGGGAGCAGAGACAGAGGTGATGCCCACGGGAAGGGTGGCTCTTGGGAGACAGCAGAATCTAGGGCAGGTTTTCCCAAAGGGACATCCTCAGATCACCTTGATCAGGCCACCCTGAGCTCAGAATTGGATCAGGGGATGGGGGAATCTGGAGTGGTGGCCTGAAATTTTCATGGTTCACAAGCAAGCCCATCTCTGGTGAAGTCTGAGAAGCGGTGGTAAAGAGCTCTACTGTGTGTCAGCTTTAAACAAACAAACAAAAATAAATGGCCTCATCCAGCTTCCTTGAATGATGATCTTCCACAACCTGCCTACAACCCAACCTTCCTCTTCCTTCCCTGTGCTCCTGCTGTCTCAGGGAATTGCTCTTCTCCTCTTCTTTCCTGTTCTGCTATGGCTACCTTATGGGACTGCCCTTTTCATAAGTCTCCCAGAGGTTCTTTCCAGTGATAGCAAAGCAGCAGATGAGGCCAGAGGTGAGAGGAATTCCGAGCCAAGAGTGTTTTCTCTCCATTTTCTCTGGGGTCTTCATGCTCCTCTCATCACCAGCCCAGTTTCTCTTGCCTCCGATCCACCCTCTACCCTCCTGGAGCTTAGGCTGTGGGAGTCATATGCCTCCAGCAGCAGCTTGGAGCTGGAGGGTACAGGGTGGGAAGAGATGCTGAAGCATGGTTTGGATAAGCGGATACACCAGGCATCAGATGCAGATCAATGCCTGAGACCGTGTGGATGGGAGTGGTCAGGAGAGGGCCACATGGCTGTGGCCAGAGCCCTCCCATCCTCTTTATTTTTAGCAGGGACTTGGATGAAGTCTCATCATAGGAAGGAATGAGGGAGGGAGTCACTGAGCCAACAGCAACAAGGGCGTATTTCCTCTATACCCTTGGAACTGGGTAATTTTCCCACAAAATCATTACTGCCCATACACAGCTGGTGCCCATATAGCTAGGGCATTTCCCCATGAAGAATAATATAGACCCAATGGCCTTGAATGGACTGCTTCTCCTGAATCCCTGTGAACTGCTGCTTCTTCTTTGAGCACAGGAACAATCATTTCTGAATATTTCACAAAGCCATTTCATAGAGTGAATGAAATAATATATCCAAATGTACTTTGCAAATGAAAATACAGAACCCAAATGCAAATCAGTGTCACTATCGTATTTAGTACATCGTTTGTAAGGAAAGATGTGTTGTGTTTCCTAATTGACTTTGTGGCAGAGGTATTTTTGCAACATGAGCTGCATGTCAGCTGTGAAGACTGGGTTTTCACTTTTACTTAGGCAATGTGGATTTGGAAAGTGATCAAGAATTTTAGAATGGAGTACATTTTTCCTTTTTCTTGGAGGTTTCCAAGAGCCTTTGCATTGTGATCTTGTACAGACAGCCTATGACATGAGTGTGGCCCCTCTGGAACACTGTGGAGTGGCCTGTTTTGTCACCATCTAGGTCTTGGCCTCAGGGACTGCTAGATACTAGATGCAGTCAGGGCACTCCCCAGGCCTGCTGGCAAGCACTTCCTATCCAGCAGGCATATAAGGTAACTTTGAGTAGCAGAGGGAGAACTTGCAATACTCCAAGGGAAAAGCAAAGCAAGAGAATTGATGTTCAGTGATGTTAAGGGGCACATCTGGGGGGCAAGCCAAAACTTTGTGATGGTAGGCTTCTTCAGGCAAAACTGACTGCATCTGTCACTAAAAATCATTGGCATGGCCCAGTACCAGCTCAGCTCTGTCATTATCTGTCCTGTTTGCACTCTGATTCAGCTGGGGAGAAGCATGCCTTTCCTTGGGTCCTCAAATGGGCTAATCCAGGTTCATCTTACCTAAATTCCCCTTCATAAGCCTATCACTGTCTACATTAGTTGTTCTCAACTGGGGGATAGAGAGGTTGATTATACCTCAGGGGATAGTTATCAATGTCCAGACACATCTTTTTGGTTATCACGAATTTGGCAGTGGTGCTATAGTCATCTAATAAGAAGAGGAATACAGGCTAAGGGACCATACTAACCATCCTACTATGCACAAGACAGCCTCTCCCCCTACAAAGAGCTATCCAGCAAATGTGGAGGTTGAGTAACTCAGCTCCACCTTCCTTTCCCTTGTGAGGTGTTAAGACACAACAGCATTTTGGGAAAGGGTAACTCACTTCATTTAGCACTCAGTTATTAAGGGAAGGATCAAGGAGGTATCTGACGTTTGCAGCGTGATAAAGGGATGGACAGCAAGACCTCTGGTTGCTGTGTAGGTAGATATTTGAGGCAGGAAGCCTGATTGAGACAAACTGCTTGTTTTCCTTTGGTGGACTGAGCTACCCAGTGACCAGGGTGCAGCCATTCATCATGATGACAGTCCACATGGAGCTCCAGAGCACCAGCAAAACCCGTGTCCTCCGTTACTGACTTTAGTTAACAACATTTGTATTACGAGATTTTATGACTGCATTTCAATTCTGATTTAAGCAAGTGTGCCTAATGTGGAAATACATCTGATTACTCCATTACATATTCATATCCAATAAATAGCCCATCATTTCAAATGGCTTGCTCTGTTGGTTATCATGATATTTTTCTGTTATTTTTGCCTCCTCAGCTCACTCCAAATTCTCAAGTCTGCTGTTTTATTAAGAGAGGAAAATATGGTGCACAGACATAGGGAGGGCCTATGAAACATTTAATAAAACTCCCCAAAAGTAAAACTGTCTGGATCAATACTAAATCTCTGTGTACCTGGTGTTCCCTGTGTCTTTGTGACATGCTGGTCTTTGGGTTGTGGGAGCTGGAGAGTTTCCTAGACGATTCTGATGCAAAGTCCTGTGCCTTGCAGCAGGGCTTATTTTTGAGGGCAGCCATGTGTTTTTGAGCTTTAAAACATGCGTGGTAGAGAAAGTAAATGTAGAGAAAGAGTGGAGCCTGTCAACATGTTGTTAAAACATCTCTGGCCTCTTCTCCACACTCTTATGCATTTATGGCTTCTGGTCAGAGAAGAGTCACAGCTGGGAGTGGCAGGAACTTGTTGTTTACTCCATTGCTGGAAATAATAGCAAGCCACCCACCCAGGTCCCTACTCTAGATTCAGGCTTCTCTCATGCAACTTCAAGTTTGGGGGTAACCTTTTAACTAACACTGGTTTTTCAAATCATAGGTCATTTTAAGTGGCCCTGGGTTCCTGTGTGCTGTTTCATTATCAGAAAGTGTATCTGCCTCTGGATATAAAATAGAAAAGTGAGTCTCAAGGAAGGTAACAGTCATTCTACCCACCCAGGTTGAGGTTGGAAAATGTCCAAGTCAGTCACAGACACTTCTGTACAACTTGACACTTTTCAGGACGATTGCTTTTGCCTTCACCAAACTTTGCCGATGGGGCTGTGAGGAGAAAGGGAGATGGGATGAACTCACATGTAGCCAGCAGACTTCAGGAGATTGTTGGTGCTTCAGTGTCCCTGGGACCAGAGAATGTGCTGGATTGTTGCATGTATCACAAAAGATTTGTAGCTCATGCCTGGGGTCTCAGCTCTTAGGAGGTGAAGGTAGGAGAATCAGTCTGAGGCCCTATCTGAAGAACAAACTAAAAGGCCTCGGGTGTGGCTCAAGTGACAGAGCACTTGCCTAGCAAGTATAAGGCAAGTTGAGTTCAAATCCAGAACCACCAAAACAACAAACAACAGAAAATGTTTTCAGTTTCATAATAGCCAGACAGAGGCTATTGCCTCTGGAGAAACACTCTCGTCATGGCCTGGTGGTACAGTACCCAGTTTCTCTCTTGAGTTTTTCTTCCCTTCCTTCTACTCCCCTTCCCTCTGCCTCTGTATGTCTGTCTATCTGTCTTTCTTACACACACACACACACACACACACACACACACACACACACATGAATAAGGTCCACACTGTTAACCAGGCTTTTCTTGGACTGTCAGAAACAATCTCTAGGTTTACCACATGAAGTGACTCAAAAGGGAACCCTCTGAACTATACAACTGTTCGTCCAATTGCCCCCAAGACTTGGGTAGAACAAATATCCCCTGGTTCTCCCTCTGATTTCCTGGGTCCCAAGTGAACAACTCTCACCTTGATTTCTCTCCAGCTGGATACCTTGTAAGGCAGGACTGTGTTTGCATTTGTCACCACCTGACAACTCCTCCTATCTGGGAACCTCTGTGCCTTGATTGTCCATGTGGGGCCACCTGGCTCTGGCTGGTCCCATGGCTCCCGCAGGAGGATGTGAGCAGACTGCAACTCCGGATCACCCCTCTCTCCAGTAAGAGCCCACTGGAAGGAGCCCTGGGCCTCAAGAGAAGCCTTCCTAGCCAAGGACTGCTACTGTCCTTTTGCTCTGGGTGAGCTGGTTGCTCCCAAGT